AAAAAAAAAAAACTAAAATACATTCTTTTAAAAAGAACATGAATGAAATAAATTGCACTTCATCATATATTTGTGAAAACAAAAAGAATTGCCTTTTTTAGATATGGACTATTATCACAGAAGGTTGTATATCGAACAGCAAACAAAGAACATTTTACCTTGATAAATATCACACAAATATATATATATATATTTAATTGAAAAAATAAAACTGCATTCTTCCTCCTCCCCTTTTGCCTTCATCCACTGTCTGACACAAGAATAACAGTATTCTCAGTGAATTAGCCACGCTTTTGCTGTCACCCATCCTTTCCTTCAACAACTCAATGACAGAATTATGGTGGACACAATAGGACAGCAAATTATGTTTACTGTTGCTTGTTTTCACCTGCAAGATCCTATCTGAAGTGGACAAAGGAAACTCGATGTTTGGAAAATTGGAATTTCACAGATTTGGGAACAGATCAATGAGGTTCGGGTCTGGGTTATCCCTGACACATAACTCCCCATTATAGACATGTACGGCCAGTCATCAGAGTGGCTGATGACAACTTTTGTCCCGTTTTCTCCAATTTTCAGGCCATTTGCTCAATAAATATGTCACAATGGTACAATGGCAGTGTCCTACTTTACAAGCACATTCACGGGATAATCTTTGCATTGTAGACTATCCAGGGCAAAAAGACTTCAGAAATAATTGTCCCCTCGCCACACACTCAGATAGGTAAAATAGCCCCAGGGGGACTCAGGTAGGTAGATGGACAATAAGAAACCCTCAGTAAACACCCCTCATAATGAGGAGATAATTATCAAAACAACTGTTAAAGGTGTGTCGGACAAATCTGTTAACCACCCCAAAATCCCTGCTTAATCTCTGACTTAAACATGCAATCCAGGGGAGGGGTAATTCTGAGAAGACTCTTAGGTGGAATCCAATCAATTAAGGGGATGCACACTTTAAATGAACCACACCAAGTCTCCTGCAAAGAGCTGTGGAAGTGGCTCCAAGTTGCTGCAAACAATGCATCATTAACACGGCTTTATGAGGTGTCAATGTGAACAGAATGAAGGGCAAACATCCCTCCTCTAAAGGACAGGTGAGCGAGAAGCTTGTGAATCTTGCTAATCTGATTGATGAGAGGCCAAGCCAGAGGTGACAAAAATGTGGCACAAAGACTGTAAAATTTCAGGTGATAGAGTAGAGTCCAGGGATTTCAGTTATGCTGCCAAGTGCAGGGAAGAGGCTGCCATTTAGAGAAAAATTTGTGTGAAAAAAATGACATGGGGTTCATGGGGCCACCCAGGCCAATGAAATATCTTGGCTCCCAAAAAGTCAGAACTCCTCCGATAGTCAGAAAAATCTCATCCCTGCTAGTTTTGATTTGCCTCACGGTCAACATTGTCAAAATTTCACACCTGATAAAAGGAAGGCAAGATCCATCTCGTGGGCATTGTTATCAAATGTTCAAAACTTCACACACGATAGGTTATCTTTCTAACTGCCAATGCCTTCTCAGATTTGGAAATGATCTAAGGCACAGTATCTTTTCAAATATCACCCTAATTTTATTGCTGTTCAGAAAATGACAAGCATTTCCTGTTATTCAACTCTAATTCCAAGAGCTAATTACTGGTATTTTTTTAATGATGACTTTACTTCTACATTCAGTGATTAATGCTAATACCTACAGTCAGTCTGCTAATAAAATTTTCCTAGTAATAATCAAACCATTTTTACTTGTGATATTGTGATCATACTTCACCTATTCAATTTGTTTCCTAGCCCAACAATAATTCATTTCACTTGTAAAGTGACATTATTAGGAAGGGAATGCAAGCTTTCATCCCTTTTATAAACACCTTGCTTACTAATAAGGAAAAGCACTGGCACCATAGTCAAAGCAAACTAATTTACTTCTGTAGATAATTTAAGTAGCTAAGCTAGATTTCACAACATTACATGCGCAACATGAATTCCAATTAAAGGTAAATGTTCGTTTAAAAAAAGGATGGAAAAATCACTTACCTTCAGCATCTATTGATTTCTGAATGGAATCAACCTCGTTCTCTGCATACACCGCATCCCGCGCATACAGCAACATTTCTTCACCTGGGCTGATATCCTTGATGGCTTTATAATATACCTAGAGAAGGAAAAAGAAACAGAATAAAATCAACTGTTTACTAGCCTGTGGCTTCTTTTGAATAAATACACAATAATAACATAATAAATTCCTTATTACACAAATTTATCACCTCATAAAAAATCCTGGAATTTTTTTCTCAGCAGGTGCTTTGTAAAATTATTCGACGGTACCGGGTAAATGTATCATATTCCAGCCACCTTTAATTTATATATCATTTCCAAACACATATTCTATGCATGCTCGCATGCAGTTCGTGATCAATGTCCCCATCACTGGTGACTCCCTATCTCCAATAAAAATGTATAGAACAAAAAAATCTCTACACTTGTTTTGAAGAGGAATAAATATTACTAATGGCTTCCTTTTCCACATAAATGACTAATTGTGTATTGTGTACCTCATTCATGATTCTCATACATGTACTAATATGTGTTTCTAAGAATAAAAATTCCCTTCATTGCTCCATCAGTTTGTGTATGTCTCCATCAGTTTTGTGAGATGTTATCTAATAATGCTTCGGTTCTGATTTATTCAAAAAAAATCACTGACATAGGCATAGTTCTTATCAAAATTATTGTCACCATTTTTTTGTCAGCAATTTTCAGAAGAGCAAAACGAGAAGAAAAAAAACATCTTCAAACATTTACTTCCACCAAATAATAACAAAAACATTAACAGTTAAACCAAGTTACATTAATACAGACACCCTACTTCACAAAATAATCATAAATTCAGAATGTCATCAGTATGCAAACAAAAAATAAATAAATAAAATAACAAAAACAATCTACCTGAGCTAACTCTGAATCTGAGGCAGGCATCTGTATTCCTAACTAAGACAAAATTAACTTCTTTCCCTAAATTTATCCTGGTACCTGCTGTCCTTTGTAAAGCACAGGCTAAGGCGTGCGAGTTATGACAATACTACACTATTCCAACAGAGAGCTCCTTGCCCATATAAATCGCCAACGAAGACTGAAGCAGTGTCTCTAGTGTCAGTTTATTATACCTCACTGCCCATGAAGTCCTGCAGGGCCTCCCCAATCCAATCATCAACCAATTAGAAAACAGCGTCACTAAGCCTTTTCAGGGAGACACAGAGGAAAAAGAGGGACTGAATTCTCATCCATGGAAAGGATGGATTTTTACTGACAAGAGTTTGTGGGAGAAAAAGATATACATAACTGACTTTTTCTGTGACTAGCTTCAATTTTAATTAACAAATCATTGTTTTTTTTTGTTTTTTTTTAGGGGGGGGGGAGAGAGGGGGGTTACTTCACCTTTTTCTAAATTTCACAAAAAAATAATAATAATTTTCTCTCATTACCACCCCCCCAAGAAAAAAATGGCCAATCATCAATTTGTTCAACCTTCTCACATTTTGATCTCTTGCAATAGCTGTTATTTTCTGCAGCTTCCACCTAATCAAAAGGCCATAGTTTCTTTTTTAATTCAGATGATAAATTCATAATCAGATTATGATTTTGTCTTTTTATTCAGAACATGTATAATATTGTGTAACATTATATAAGTATAATTTTTTTTCTCTTTCATTTACTTACTATGTTTCCATATGTATAATGTATAGTAGCTAGAGAGCCTCTAAATGTAAAAACATTTCAGTGCTCAATAAATTATTATTATTATTATTATTATAATTCACTGCTTCATTCTAGTTTTATCGCTTAAAAATTAAACTTTTTGAAATCTGTATCTATTACTTTTTTCCAGATAACATATTTGATTATAAAAATCTTTTTTCTTTTATTTTTCATTGCTAAAGATCGTTCCATCAATTTAACCGTTTGTTTATGGCTCCATCAATTTAGTTTTGGAAGACATTTTATAATTTTTGCTTCAATTTTGACTTTTGAAAAAATCTGTTGAATAAATAGAAATTATTTGATTTTGCCTTTTCATAATTACACATTTATTCTTGACTTTAAGTTTAAAGTAGAAAAAGTATTTTACTTCTTTCATCTGCATGTTAAAAAATAACTGTGCTGTCAGAACTTGTAACTTTCGATTTTGTCACAGTAATTTTCACATTGTTTGAGCTTATCTTTCTGGATAATTGTCTTTGTACAGTTTACTCACTTTTCCTATCTCAACTCAACACAGAATAACAACAGACACACATTGTTCAAAAACACCTGATTTGGTTCAACAGTACAGTAAGTGTGACAGAAGGGGAGGTGGATATTACTTATTCAGTTGTCATTTCTGCCTTATAAAACACAATTGCATTCTTTTAATTTCAATACAATACCTCTTTCACGATAATTGCACCTTTAACCCCTCCCTCCCTGATTCTTGCTCCACCTTGGTTGAATGGGAAGATGGTCTCATTCAACTGTCAAGTCTCATTAAAATAATCACTGACTAAAGCCCTTAAGTCACCTGTATTGACAGTACAGGTTTGGGGTGAAAGCACCCCCCTCCCCTAATTAAATTAGATGACTGCCTTGATGGTCATTATGATGTCACACCAATACAGGAGGTAGCAGTGAGTGTTTATACTGGGGCTAAGATTCCAAATTCTATGTAACAATTACAGTGATTGGATGGAATTTCAAGTATCAATACTTGGGACTGGATGGAAAATCCAATCAATTAAGGTGTCAAAAGTTCTTAATTCTTGGTGAAAATTGTTGATTCAGAGAATCCCTCCCAATTATATGCATGATTAGACTTCCAGCAAAGGTTAATTCAAAATCCAACAATTAATTCCAAATACGCAATATCTCAAATCTCTCCTTATTTAACACGTTAATCCTGCTCTTAAAGCCTGGATCTGATGACTTTTAAGGTAAAGAAAGAGGAAAATTCTACCTTACTTTAACCATGAACCTTTCACTGCAGAAATGATTGGACTGTTAATAAAATAAAGGATCTGAATTTCGTGAGTGATTGGCTTGTAGACATAATATCATTATCTGTGAATGCACTGTGATAGAATTTAGGTGAAAAACTCACCCCCCTTCCTCCACCTGTTCCACTTTTACTAATGTTATTTATTTATAATGAATCAATTTCGAAATTAATTATTGCTAATCCATTCAAAATACAGAGAAGGAATAACAATTATGAGTCTAAAAATCAGGTGCTCACAGTTATATTTAGAGTATTTCATTAACAGGTGCTTAGTTCTTCCAGGATAAGTCTATACCAAGAAGTATTTACTGTCTTATTTCAAAACCAGTTCATTTACCAGAGAACGATTCTGTGGTTCATCAAGGGCAAATTTTTCTTAAATATTTCTGACATATTTTTTCTGTCATGACAATGTCTGAATTTTAACAAAATCAAAATTATCAGTTCATCACTGTGATTGAAGATTAACTTTTTTCTGCTTGTAAATACATCAGTTTGCAAAAATGTAAGCACAATGCTCAACAAGTATCATGTTTATTTTCGGGTTAGGCTAACTGTTATTCATATTTTTTATCTGACTTGTATTAGCTCAACTGAAAAGTGTCAGCTGCCAGAGTCAATCAAATAACAGAAAATTTTCTATTTCATTAGTTCATCTTTTTATTTCTGCATTGAGTATAGAAAATAGCCGTTCCCCAATTTCTATATTTCCATTTGCAATGTCCAATTTCCACTTGTTTTACCTTTCAGCGTGATGAATTTACCATCCATGGCATCATCCCCAAAGCAACCACTTCCAGGTCCATAAAAAAGTGAAAATGTTGCAAAATTGCCTGACTTTATTCAAAGCCTTCACCACATAACATATATATAACATAATTTACTTAAAAGATCTGTTTATTTTCATAAAAATAATTAATCTGGGATAATTGGTTTAAAGAGGAAACACTGAATTGCACTGTCATATAAAAATATATCAGTTGGCATATTTAATAGTTTTTACATTATTTTTTGATGACCACTCTATTAAATGACAAACTTCATAAGATATTTTGGTTCATTCAATCAGTCTTTTTTTTCCATCCACCATTATCATTTAAGTATCAGATGTCTTGTTGGCAGTCTAAATACCAGTAAAAAGAGAAAAAACAATGCCTCTTATTCACAAGTATTTTCTCCTCATTTAAATCTAATCTCTCAAACTTGTACACACAAAGACAAAGCTACTCTCTTCATTTCCTATCCAACTGATAATGGACGCAGAAAAAAATGAGCTCTTTCCTATCACAAGAGCTGAATTCTAAAATGAAAGTGTCAAACACAAGAAAGGTATAAGCAACTACTGTAAACCATAAACAATTGCAGTCATTTCTGCCCTTCCTTGAAAACCAATCACGGAAATATATTTTATAAAAAATAAGCTCTTTCTGATATGCAATATTTGATAATTTAATATTCATACTTATAATTGTTGAAATGTTGCAATCTATGCAGATAATCAAAAATCAGAAAATTTCAAGAAACACAAACAAAAATTCAGATGATACAGTTATTGTACTCTTTATGGAAAAGGACAGTGAACAATGGAGGTATGTCATTATCGGTGATCGTATGTGATTTGAAAGGGAAACACAGGATACAGTGTCTACGAACATGAATCTTTCATTAGGGTTATCATTCATGATCGCGAGACAGATTTTACATGAGAAAATGGGAAATCACAATAACTTCTGATATAGTTGGTTAATGTTGGCTTTTTAACTCTTGCAAAATTATCTGTATATATTCAGCCAAATCAAACTGTAAAAGTTTGTGGATGAGAGGATCATCAAAATGATGTTTTTTAAAATAAAATGCTTTTATCTTAGACTTAAATGATGAAATATTTACCTTTAAAATGTGAACCAATGGACTTTTTATGCTTTATTTTGAAAACAGATTACAAATTCATCTGACCAGCAAAAATTTACTGGGTCACAAGTGACTTAGAGACCCCTTTCCTTTTATGGAAAATGATATAAAATAAACCAATGAAAAAAATGTGTTAACATCTCATTTCACCAATAAAATCTCATTTAAATGACCCCATATTTTGAAAAATCAGCACGTAGCAAAAATAATGC